GCGGGCTCGGTGGCGCCCGGATCGGGAGCGAGAGCGCGAGGCCGACGGAGGGACACGGCGCCGGGGACGCGGGGCCTCGTGCGTCAGAACCTGCTCTTAACTTCAGTTTCACCGGCGCGCCTCTGGGCGCGTTGAAGACCCTTCCGGAGTCTCGGTGTGGAGCCGCCCGAGCCGCGTATCCAGGCCTGTGCCGGGAGCGGGGCTTGTCCGGGGAAGCGCGGTTCTGGAGCGCCGAGGGAAAGGGCTCTGTGTGGGCCACGGGCCGGCGTCCTTGGCAGCTCTGCTGGGACGCCTCACAGAGTTTTGGGGTCCGTTCTGGCCTCGAGCAGTCACTCCTGTTACAAGGGTGTGTGTGCCACGTGTACATCTCTAACCGTGGGGCCATTGGTGCTTAAAGCGATGGGCCCGGCACGGTGACTCGTGCCCCTAATCTCAGCACTTTGGGAGTCCAAGACAGGAGGATAGCTTGAGACCAGGAGTTCAAGGCCAGCCTGCAACATAGCAAGAACTTCATCTTTACCACAAAAAAAAAAAAAAAAAAAAAAAAGGCAGGCATGATGGTGTGGGCCTGTAGTCTTAGCTACTTGGGAGGCTTAGGCCTAAGGACTTCACCTGAGCCCAGGAACTTGAGGCTGCCGTGGGCTGTGATCATGTCACTGCACTCTAGCCTGGGCAACAGAGTGAAACCCCGACTCAATAAATACATAAATGGTTAAGTAAGCTGGTGCTACCGCTGCCTCCCCCCCTCCCCAGCAAGTGGAGCGTGGGGTGCTCTTCTGGAAGCAGCATCGCAGAGACCCCCCAAATGGCCCCTTTATACTCATTGGGTGGACCCGGTGGAAAGTTGCTGGTGGGAAAACTTTTGAAAACACTTCTTAATTAAGCTTATGGCTGTCATCCCAGCAATTTGGGAGGTGGAGGCAAGAGGATTGCCCAAGCCCACGGGTTCCAGACCAGCCTGGGCAACTTGACAAGACCACATCTCAATAATAATAATAATAATAATAATAATAATAATAATAAAAAGCTAGGTGTGGTGGCCCATGTCTGTAGTTCCAGCTACTTGGGAGACTGAGGTGGAAGGATCACCTGAACCCAAGAGGTCGCGGCTGTGTTGGCATGAGCATGCCAGTGTACTCCAGCCTGGGTGACAGAGTGAGACTCCGATTCAAAAAAACAAAAAACAAAAACAAAAACAAAATAAAAAACAAAAGGCAGTAAAAACACACTCAAAAAAGTTCCCCCTTTAGGTCACCCTTAAGTGAGGGTCAGGTCCACCCTCTGCCTGTTCCCAACCCCTGGTAACCCCCTCTCCGGGGTGTCTGAGTGGTGCAGGCAGCCTGAGTGGAATTGTGGCTGTCCTGTTTCATCTGCCAGATCCAGTTGCAAGTAAATCTTCCTCATTCTTTTGTTTTGTTTTGTTTTGAGCCAGAGTGTGCAGTGGCACACTCATGGCCACCAGCGGCCTCAACTTGCTGGGCTCAGGTGATCCTTCCACCTCAGCCTCCCAAGTAGGTAGGGAGCATTCTTTAATGTGTGTATCTTTGTTTATTTAAGTGTCCCCTCCATCAATGAGTGTTGTTTCCTGTCTTTTTTTTTTCTTTTTATCCTTTTCTATTACAAATCTTGTTTCTGTGATTTTCTTTCTTTTTTCTTAACTTGAGTTGGGGTCTCACTCTGTCATCAGGCTGGAGTGCAGTGGCACAATATGGCTCATCACAGGTGATCCTCCTGTCTCGGCCTCCCAAGTAGCTGGGACTACAGGCACATGCCACCATGCCCGGCTAATATTTTTATTTTTTATTTTGTAGAGACAGGGTCTCCTTGTATTGCTCAGGCTAGTTGAAACTCCTGGGCTCAAGCAATCCTCCTGCCTTGGCTTTCCAAAGTGCTGAGATTACAGGTGTGTGCCAACATACCTGGCTGTTTCTGGGATTTTCTATTACACATATTGCATCTTCATGTGTGTGTTTTTCTGCACATATGTGACTGCTGGGTCAAAGCACATGTGTTTTGCATCTTAAGAGATGTTCACATGTTGCCCTAAGAGGGAGGGGCCCGCAATTTACATTCCTACCTGCAGTGACCAGCACAGGTCATTTGAAAATGTGTGTCTCCCTGACATTGCAGTGGATGTAAAGTGTAGCAGTAATGTCCCTCAAGCCATAGGAGGGGCAGTTACCCGCCGCTCATGGATTTGGCCATGCTGCGTTTTAACAGAATCACATGGGATGCTGGATGCCATCCTGGTCTGGCCTAACATGTACAGAGCACCAAAGAGACAAAAACTTCCCTGTTTTCCAGTTTGGGCTTCTTGTATCTCAGAAGTTTATTTCCAAGAGAAGGTCATGGAGCATAAAAGTGGTCGGCCCTCTTATGAAATCTCAGCCATGTGTGTATTTACACGGCAAGTCACTTTGCAGACTGGCCCATTCAGAATGAGAAACAGGAACACAAAAGGGATTTCAAGGCTGTTTCATTTTTTCTTTTTTAAAGCAGAAGTAAAATGGAAATTGCTGTGACATCTGGTGCCCTCCCCTGGGGCCAGGGCCCCGGGTACCTCCCTGTCTTAGTTGCTAAGGGTGCTACTCTGGATACCAGAACTGCCTGGATTTGGGTGGTCGATGCCAAAGATCATTTGGACTCAAGGGCATAAACCCAGTTAGTGAGAGGCAGCATGAGAGAGTTGTGTTTGTGGTTGAACTGATCTCCTGGGCTTCAAAGCTGGAAGTAACTAAATCCCAGAGAAAAGTGCATCCAAGCCAGGGCAGGAAAGGACCGAGCAGCCTGCTGCTTTGTCCTGTTTAATTGGAGATACTGTGATGGAACCTGTGTTTCCTACTGATGCCCCACCAGACGCTGACCTAGAGACCTGGGAGTGGGAAACCCTAGTAGTGCATGGCTGGAGGCAGTCAGCAAAGCAGAGTTGGAGTTGGGATCAAATTCAAATCCTGGCTCTGCCACTTTCTAGCTGTGTGACCTGGGACATGTCCCTTAGCCTCTTTTGAGAGGGGCAGGAGCTGCCAATTTAGTTACTATCTGACCAGATTCTGCTGTGGGATTAGGATTCCAGAAAGCAGGTGCAAGGACTGGGGACTTGGGACTCAGAGGAGAGGTCCATGCTGCCACTGGCCTGCGTGAGCTTGGTCAAATAATTTTGCCTCTCAGGACTTTGGTTTTCCCCTGCAGCATTTCTCACTGAGATAAATGAGACAAGGAAGGTATCAGATGTGCTTGGCACCTGGGGACAGCCCAATAAACAGCCACCTGTTGTTCATCCATTTGTCCTGGGCAATGTGCAGGACATCTGCTGTTATACTTGTAGCTGCATTAGAATTGTCAGCTGACTGGGCTGTTTCCAAATGGGCAGGAACAGGTGTACTTCTCTCCTGCTGTGGGCACAGCCGAGGAGGTACCTTTGGTGTGGGCGTGCAGAGGAAGGGGCAAAGGGCAACACCCGGCCTCTTCCCGCTCCCCGCATTTGCATCCAGTTCAGTGCCTGGTCAAGTTGACAGTTGATTAACGTGTTCCCCAATGACTTATTCAAGTGAACTGAGGCCCTGCTAAATGCTGTGGGTTGTACATACAGTGTAGTGTTTAGTCCTCCCAGCCGCCCCTTGGGGGTATTTTACCCCCAGTTTACAGATGAGAGAACTGAGGTCCAGATTTTGAGCAATGTGGCAGCAGGCTGAGTCAGGCTGGAGGAGTTCCAAACAGCCCTGGCTACACCCCTGCCTCTTACTCTCTGGTCTTGGGTCCTGAGCGGGTCTCTCTAGTGCTACTATGTAACCTTGGGGGCTACAGAGTAACAACTGTGGGCCTCTAAAGGGATTTGGAGGGAGAGGAGGAGATAAGAAATAGACACAGAACAAATGATATTGCTAATAGTCACAATAGCTAAATCTAAGGGGCACTGACTTTGTATCATTGTTTTAAGAGCCTGAGATCTAGTATCTTGTTGAACCCTTTCAAAAACATGAGGCAGTGGATACTGTTACCTTCTTTCACAGGTGTGGGACTGAGGCCCAGAGGATTTATGTGACCTTGTAGTGCTGCAGCCTAGCTAGCAAGGCGGGCCTTGGTGGTTCAGCTCAGAGTCTGGGGAGCCCCTTGACTCTCAGTCCTGTCTTAGGGGCAGATGGTGTCTTTGGATACTGGGGAGGCAGGATAGGGGAGGAGAGCAGAGTGAGGGCTCAGGTACCTACTGCAGGGCTTTGAGCAGAGGAGTAACTCGATCTGGTTCATGTTCTAACAGGATCCTCCTGGCTACTGGGTTGAGGATTGACCCAAGGTGGCCAGGGCAAAAGCGGGGAGACCAGTTAGTAAGGGGGTTGGAATAATCCAAGTTTGACAACCTGTGAAGGGGTGAGATGAGTTGGATTCTGGACTTTCTGATGGAGTCCAGGGAGGGAGGGAGCCCAGGCAAGATTTTGGGTCCAAGCACTTCTCTAACAAATATGAACCACCCAGGAGAATAAACTGTGATCAAGGACCCCCACTGGGTGTTGGGCATCATCCCAGGTGCTTTGCTCTGGCATTCCGTTTTTGGCTTCCTAACTAATGGGACACTCCCATTTTAGAAAGGGTGAAACTGGGGCACAGGGAGGGCAAGCAACCTGCCCAGGGTCACACAGGGACCAAAAACCTACACCAGGGTTTGAACTTGAGGCTGCTGGACCCTGACATTTTCTGCCCTTTGAGTGCCATTTCTGTGCAGAGGAATTAATTGCTCAGGTTTCCATGGACAATTCTAACTTTTTTTTTTCTTCCTGTTTTGAATTTTGCTCAGGAAGTAAAGGGATGGTTGGAAATCTCTAGGCAGGGCAGAGAGGGATGGGGTAGTGGGTGGGCGTTGGGAGCCAACCTGGCCTACTTTGGCTATTCAAATATTCTACAGGATAAAAGTGGGTGGGGAGAGGGGGCATCACCTCCAGGCTGGGATGATTTGGTTATTCAAAGTCCAGGTAACGGTTGGGTCATTGAGGTCAGGGGCTCCTCCCACACCTCAACCTCCATTTAAACCTTGTGTCCAGCATGGGCTCTCTGAGTGATCAGCTATTCCTTGCCCCTAGAACCTTCTCCTGAAACTCATCCTGCTGTGCATGTGTCAGAAAGTTTGGCTTCTGAAGTCCAGGCCCTGTTAACTAAATCCCCCTCCACTAACTAAAATCTATTCCCTCCTTTATTCTGGCCTTTCAGACTCCTGCTTTCCCCTGACTCCTTCCTTCTCCCCGGGGTGGCCAACCATGACCACCATGGTCAACGTGGATGCCCTTCCGGAATATGAGAAGAGTCAGATCAAGAGGGCCCTGGAGCTGGGGACAGTGATGACTGTGTTCAGCTTCCGCAAGTCCACCCCTGAGCGGAGGACTGTCCAGGTGATCATGGAGACACGCCAGGTGGCCTGGAGCAAGACCGCTGACAAAATCGAGGGCTTCTGTGAGTACCCACTGGATGGGGCAGTGCGGCCTGTCCTCCTGGGCCCTGGCCCGAGTGCCAAAACACCTTCCTGTCTTCCGTTGTTCCTGCGGTTGTTGTTGGTGTGATCCGTGCTTCAATTCTTCTAAAAATGGAAGTGTTGTCACCGGGGGTGGGTGCCCAATGGGCTTTACAGCAGGTGGAGGAAGTTCAGCCGGGAAAGCTCTGGTGAAATAACAGAAACCCACGTTGGCTGGCTTGGAAAGGATGTTTGGACAGCTCGATGGGGCTGGCAGCTGTGTTCTCTGTCTTGCAGCATCAGGGATCGTGTGCATCCCATGGCTGGTCCACTTGTCTGTCCTCTCTAGGGCTCACTAGTCCAAGTGTGCTGTGCACCATGGCAGCGAGCGGCCTTTACTTTCCACTCCAAGCTGAGAGAATGAGGCCTTGAGTGTTCTGAGGCTTCCAAACAAAGCTCTGGTCCTGGTGGAGGGGTCTTCCCTGCCCACTGCCTTTAGATTGGGCAATGGCTCAGTTCCTAAAGTTCCTAAGACTGTTTTTAATAAATAGAGGGCACTAAGCAGTTTTCAGTTGCAAAGACTTGCTTTCATCTGTATATATATTTCTTAATTAACTAGTTTTTAAATTGTAAAATGTACTCTTGGGAATTGGAGAGTCAGCTCGTAAATGCTTCTCTTCCCTGACCCCTAACCCACACTCCAGAGGCAAGCTCATTACCAATTTCTTTTGTCTTCCAGAAATAGTCTGTGCTTGTGTAAAGTATGTGTGTTTTTTTATTTCCCACAAATGGGAATGGCTCTGTACACTCTGCACCTTGATTTGTTAATTAGTAATGATCTTGGGTATTTCCTTATCAGCACACATTGATCTGCTCATTCTTTTGTGGTCACAGATCATGAAATGGCACATGGCTGAAATGTAGCAGTTTAACTCCAGAGACAGATGTTTGGCGCCATTTTTGGTCTTTTATTTTTAGCTGAAGCAACTCTCCTCACTTTTAAAAATAAGTTTTATAGATTTATTGAGCTATAATTTACATTTTTTGTTGTTGCTTTGTTTTTTTGAGATGGGGTCACATTCTGTCACTCAGGTTGGAATGCAGTGGTACAATTATGGCTCATTGCAGCCTGAACTCCTGAGCTCAAATGATCCTTCTACCTCAGCCTCCCAAGGAGATAGGCCTACAGGCACACACCACCATGCCTGGCTAATTTTTAAAAAAATTTTGTGGAGATAAGGTCTCACTATGTTGCCCAGGCTGGTCTCAAACTCCTGGACTCAAGCAGTCCTCTCACCTTGGCTTCCCAAAGTGCTGGGATTACAGGAATGAGCCACTGTGCTCAACCTCATTCATATTCTAGACATACAGTTCACCCACTGTACACAGGATGCACAGTGCAGTGCTTTTAGTATGCTCACATATATGTGCAAGCAACATCACAATCAATTCTAGAACATTTTTATTACCTCAAGAACAAAGCCCACACCCTTTAGCCATCACCCCCACCCACTAATCTACCTCTTAAGCCCTAAGCAACCATCAATCTACTTTCTATCTCTGTAAATCTCCCTGTTAATGGAATCATGCATTATGTGGTCTTTTGTGTCTGGCTTCTTTCACTCAGCATCATGTTTTCAAGGTCTGTCCACTGTGTAGCATGGATCAGAACTTTTTTATGGTTAAATAGGAATTCATCATATGGATAGGCCACAATTTGCTGTTCCATTCATCTGCTGATGGACATTTGGGTCGTTTCTACCTTTTGCTTAGTATGAACATTTGTGTGGATGTGTACTTTTATCTCCTTTGGGTGTTTACCTAGGAGTGGAATTGCTTGATCTAACTCTGTTTAGTTATCTTGGGAACTGCCAGCCTGTTTTCCAGAGTGGCTGCACCATTTGTATTCCTGTTACCCTTGGGTTATTCTGTCACTCACATGTAGGGGTATAGTTTCCTAGATTTATTTCTGAGTTGAAGGGTTGGCGTATTTTAACTTTCAGGGAAGTTTGGCAGCGACTCACAGAAGAAGATGATCTATTTTATACTCATCTATGGGGTCTGAGCACGCCTGTTCCCCACACCGTTATCTGCACTGCCATAGGCTCTGCACTGGGCCATTCATGATAGATGCTAGTAGCTTGGCTTTTTAGTTTTTTTTGTTTGTTTGTTTGTTTTTTGAGGTGGAGTCTCACTCTGTTGCCCAGGCTGGAGTGCAGTGGTGCACTCATGGCCACTCCAGTGTCAGCCTGCTGGACTCTGGCGATCCTGCTGAATCAGCCTTCCGGGTAGCAAGAACTATAGGCACATGCTACCACGCTTAGCTAATTTTTGATTTATCGTAGAGATGAGGTCTTGAGTTGTCTGGGCTGATCTTGAACCTGCAGGCTCAGGCAATCCACTTGCCTCGGCCTCCCAAAGTGCTGGGATTACAGGCTGAACCACCAAGCCTGGCCAACATCGTTGTTAACTTGATTTAGCCTATCAGGAGTGAGATTGAAAAGCTTTCTAAAAGCTTTCTCCTGGCTTCAGAGCCAAGGGGGTCTCAGCACAGAGTCAGAGCTGTGCTTTGAAATGCCCATGTGTGGAGACAACCAGCTTTCTTCCCAATTTTGCTTGCATTGGCCACACTCTACCATCTCCCAGATGACCTGGAAACTTGTTGCAGCTGGTGTGGAGGTCGGGGGGTGGGGGACAGACAACTGAGGGTAAATACAAGTGTGTCACATTGAGAGTGGATGGCAGATGCCTTTCCTGACCTGTGGTTTCAAGCCTCGCTGACCATAAGAAATACCTGGGGAGGGGGAGCGCTTTTTCAAAGGCTGTTTTTTGTACAGGTTGTTGGAAGCATCTCCTGAAGCTCATTCTGGTAGGCATGAGAAAAGAGTTTGGTTTGAAATCCATGCTCTGCAGGGCTCCCTTTCCATTAAGTAATGTCAGGTCAATCTTTGATTCAACCCATTCAGCTTCCCAGTCTCCTCCTTCCTGCTCCCTGGAGTGACTGAGAATGATGGCCTTTTACCACTTTGACTGGAACTCAGTATTCTAATAAGCACCCCCAGGGGATCCTGGTAACTCTGCAGCTTTCACATACACTGCTCTAGAGACACACCCTTTCTCCCCCCTCACTCCCTCCTCTCCCTTCCTCTCCTTCCCACCATTCCCCCTCTCTTTTGCATCTTCCCTCCACCCCATTTGAATGTCTGCTCTGCCAGGCACTGTTCTAGGTACTGAAGGTGCCACAGTAATGAAATTAGATTCAAATCCACATAGCACCTACGTTGCTTGGTGACGTTAGGGCAGCATGGGGCTTGACTTCCAGCATTATTTGATAAGCTTTGCTTTGTGACCTTGGGCAAGTCACCTCCGTCTTCTGAACTTATCTGTAGAATGGAAAGAACACTGGTTATTATACAACGCCTGGCAGGGGTTGGTTGGGATTAAGCAAGTGAGTAGATACACCAAACGGATTCACACAGTTCAAGACATGTGATGAGCACCTAACCAGTGGGCCACAACTGCCATGGTTGTGATTTTGGCTGTGTCTGGGGACTTACAGTCTGCTTAAGTGTTTGGGCTCTATCTGGAGGGCAGTAGAGGCTATTGATGGATTTCCAGAAGAGGGATGGAGTGATTGGAGTTGCGTCTTTGAACGTGCTATGGACGACCTGTTTGAGAAGAGGTGGTGTTTGTAAAGTGACAGAAAAAGCCAGTTTTGGCCAGGCTCGGTGGCTCACCCTGTAATCCTAGCACTTTGGGAGACCGAGGTGAATGGATTGCCTGAGCCCACAGGTTTGAGACCAGACTGAGCAGCTTGGTGAGACCTTGTCTCTACAATTAAAAAAAAAAAAAGAAAAAAAAAATTAGCCAGGCATGGTAGCACACGCTTTTAGTTCTGGCTACTTGGAAGGCTGAGGCAGAAGGATCGCCGGAGCCCAGCAGGTTGATGCTGGGGTGACCATAAGTGTGCCACTGTACGCCAGCCTGGGCGACAGAATGAGACTCCAACTCAAAAAAATAAAAAAAATACAATAAAATAAAAAATAAAGAAAGAGAGAAAGAGAGAAAGAAAGAAAAAAGAAAAAGCCAGTTTGGAGTCAAGAGCTTAGAAATGGTGCACCCCTCCCCCCCAAAGAGAGTAGCCTCCAGGCCCTGGGTGGGAACTGCCAGTGCCACCTGTCCAGTCTCCTGCTATGAAAGGTAATGTCTCTAGGGGGCCCCTACCCTCACTCTAGTGATTCCTTCAGGGGGTGCTAGCTAGCAGGAACTTGCTGGCTACTGTGGGGTGAGCAGGAGGCAGGCAAGCAGGAGAGGAGCATGGGTGTGTGGCCTTGAGGCCCTTGGCAAGTGGTGTGTGACTTCTGGACAGGTGTCACAACCCACGTGGAGGCCAGGATGAAACACCTAGATCCTACTGTTGGAAGCAGTGGTCCTCAACCTGGATGGTTTTTGCCTCCATGCCCTACCCTGAGATGGGGGCAGTGTCTGGAGACATGTTTGTCACAACTGGGGGACAAGGTGCCAGTGACATCTAGTATGTAGAGGCCAGGGATACTGTTGAATGTCCTCCAGTGAAAAGACAGCTCCCACCACAGAGAACGATCCAGTGGAAATGTCAGTGGTGCCAGGGTTGAGAAACTGCTCTAGGGTCTTGTGTTTGCTTTGCTTACAGCTATAAACTGTCACTGGGTGAAGTGGGATTTTGCTTTGGACCCTGTCATGATGGAGCATTTGTTCAGGGCTTTTTTTTTTTTTAATCATCATATTTGGTGGCTGACTCTGCTGAGAGAAAGAGGAGGAAGAATGGAGTCCCAGCCTGTAAAATGGGGAGACACACTCAGAAACCAGACCTTGTAGGATTGTGTGATTAATGCCACAGTGGCAGTTTGGCCTGGGTATGGTGCAAGAAGAAAGTGTTTTCAGGGAGGTGGTGGGGATTGGAGAGGGCTTGTATTGGGGGAGGGTACTTGTGTGGAAAGCTGAGGGAGGGATATGCCAAGTG